CACACACACACACACACACACACACACACACACACACACACACACACGACGGAGGTGGCGAGTGCAGTTAGCATGACACACAGACTCACGATTTCCCTCACATTTAAGGGAAATACACCAGGTTGAAATCTACCAAAATTGTCCTTTAGGTTTCATTTTTATGCTGTTTGTTGTGGGAACGTGTACACAATCTGTATATGACACTAGTACATGTAGAATATACTGCATGCGTGCATTGTTTACCTTGTATGTCCGGCAGGTACTTCTGGTACTGGTCCACCTCACTGCTGTAGATGGTGAAAGCCAGGCGTTTGAGCAGCATGGCTCTCTGCTCCAGCTCAGCGTCTCTGTTGGTGAACAGACTCAGAGAGCTGCTCTGGGCTACAGCCACCCGGGCTGAAGTGAAACACACACACACAGTCATTATTAGTCTATCCGGTAGCTATTTAACCTGTTAATACGCTTTAACTCACTAGGTTTTTTCCTTATCAAAATCCTATCAAGGATCTAAGGATAGTGGGTGTCATAGGTTGTACAGATTTGTGATATTGGGCTGTATAAACAAAATGGACGAAACTTGTTTAACTATTTCACGTCAGCATATTTTTTTTGCAGGGCTACAGACTTAACAGGAGTGGAAATAGAAGTGCGTGTTTGGATCAAGAACACTTCAGGATGAATTCTGCCTGAGATGAGGCATGAAAAGGGCAAAACACTCAGCGTCCCGTCGATGTCACATTGAAACAGATGATGTGCTAAACGGTCTGCGATCACACCCGGAGCCAATATCTACACATTTATAACTGAAACTGAAGAATCGTGAAGCTTACTCATGAGGTCTCTGAATGTGGTCTTGTCATGAGTCATCAAGTGGTCAATGATGGCTCTCCAGCTGAAGAGTTAGGAAAATTAAAATGAGTAATTAATTAACAAACAACCCCCTTACATCTGGCAAGAACATGGACCATTCCAAGATTATGTTGACAGAATATTTATGTAAAATGTGTTTTTGACTTTAATGCATCTCTGTTGTCCCCGAGTTCTTATTCTGACCTTTTAAACAAAGAGCAGACTGACAATAAATGTCCTCTATTAACATAATGTACGTGCATTCTGTATGTCCCTTAAAACTGACAGGGAACACACGCTCATGCTTCTTATTTATTTCAAACAAAATATCAAATCCAAAATAGGTAAATATCCAAGACCTTTGTTTGATTACACTTTGTGGATGGATTTATAGATGAGTCGCACAAGAGAAATATAGTTCATAAGCAGTTAATAATAAAATTATGCTCAAGCTGTTTGAAGAAATCAAAAGGACATAATATATATATATGCAACTACAGAAACTATCAGTGTGCGTTTTAAGATTATATTCTATTTTTATTTTATACTTACAATTGTGAAAGTAATTTGGAGTGTCAGGCTCATAAGTGCATCTTTAGTTATTGCATCCAACATCTTGAGTTAATGTCTTTTCTCTCTCTCTCATAGTTAACATTTCAGCTACTCTGTTAACACCAGTTGTAAACGGTTTCCTCTCCGACTCACTGGCTGACGCAAGAGGAGTCCATCTGGAAGAAGGTGTGGTCCATGAAGAGGTCGAAGGCCTCCTTCTTCCAGGCCCGGCGGGTGTACTG